GCCTCCCCACGCTCCCCTCCCAACAGAGGCCGTGCCTCAGGACTGCCCACACAGCTCCCAGCGCCCCGGGGCCAGGCGCAGGCTCCGAGCAGCCAGGAGAGGGGTTCCTAGCTCAGGGAAAGGGGGCAGGGCCCCACCGTGGCAGAGCCCCAGCGCTCGCTACTCCAGTGAGCCAGCCACCATGGCCACGGCCTGCCCCGCCAGGCTCAGCGTCACCAGCTGCAGCCGCCCTGCACTGGGGCCAGGTGCCCTGTCCTCCCAGCGCCCTGCCATGCCCTGCCCTCCTAGCGCCCTGCCGCACTGTGCCATGTCGCGCCCTCCCAGCGCCGCATCCCGGGGCCAGGCACAGGCTCCGAGCAGCCAGGTGGCTTCCGCGGGGCTTCCCGCCCCCCTGCTCCTCCTGCGGGCCAAAATGCCGCCCCTGCCAATGTGCCGCCCCAAGCATCTGCTTGGTTTGCTGGTGCCTGGAGCCGGCCCTGTATAACAGACAAGCACAGCATTAAGCAGTGGAATTGGAACATTCCTGGGAAGTTTCAAGGCTTATATTCAGACTGCATCTATTCTGATTAAATGGGTGAGATGGCTTGGAAAAAATAGGAGCACTGACATCTTCATACCTACTAGTGAATAACCACTACCCATTTCAAGAAAGCTTCTCTTTCCCAAAGTCCCTTCTTTCATACCTTACTCTTCTTTTTTGATGTGCCATAAAATGAATTGCAGGATCTCTGTAAGACTGGAGCCTCCCTCAGTGTGGACGCCACCACGGCTCATCTTAAGGTAAGATTACTCCAAGTATGCATTTTGCGTAGCTGCAGTTGTGTACCTTAAGCCTTCCTTCCAGGTTCAGTGTAGATCTGCCCTCAGTCCACTAACAGCTTAGCCCTGCCATATTATCTGTGGGCAGAAGAACCCACATTTCACTTTAGCTGGGTTGTGAGCAGCTGTAAGGATCCACCCATGTGGATCTCTAAGGTGCTACAGGACCATTGTTGTTTTTAAAATTTTGTTAGTTACAGATTAACATGGCTACCTCTCTGAGACTTTCAAAATGGTTATAGTATTACATTCACAACACAACTTTCAATGGCTTTTTAGTCTCAGATATAACTAGAACTAGTACCTATATACATTTTTATATTACCAGATTATTTAATTTACAAAGTACAGCAATGAAGGGAGAACATTAAATCCTTTCTTTTACGAAATTGCAAATATTCCATGGAGTTGCTTCATAGTATCCTACTACAGTTTTCACTTTGTCTATACAGGGCTTTATAGTGTGGCTACTTTACAAAGATACAAGGAATTTAGCGTCTACACTATAGATACAGGCACACATACATTGTCTCATAGATACCGCAAGAGGAAAGTCCAAATCCTGCTTTCACATTAACAAGTACAACTCTCACTGAATTCAGTGTGCTGTGTGCAAGTATCTAAAGTCAATTTGGCTCAATGACTTTAAAGACTTACCAGAAATTATTTCTGATGCAGTAATATTTATAGTATAGATTCTTTAACTATGTAAAGAAATTTCAATGAGGTTCAAGAATAAGGCTCCCTTGGGTCATTAATGGTGCAGGCCAGTGTTTTTCAATTTCAGGCCTGTGGACCCATGTCGTCCACAGACTATGTCCATGAGGGTCTGTAAAAGGTCATTGTTGCCATAGAACAGTGATTTTTCAACTGTGATCTGTGGACAACATGGGGGTCCACAGAGTACATCTAAGATTTCCAAAGGGGTCTGACCTACATTTCAAATTTTTAGAGGTTAACAACAACTCTCTGACTATGGTTATCCAGCCAATTATGCACCCATCTTATTGTGGCCCTATCTAAGTTATATTTGCCTAGTTTATCAATAAGAATATCATGCGAGACCGTATCAAATGCCTTACTAAAGTCTAGGTATATGACATCCACCGCTTCTCCCTTATCCACAAGGCTCGTTATCTTATCAAAGAAAGGTATCAGATTAGTTTGGCATGACTTGTTCTTCACAAACCCATGCTGGCTATTCCCTATCACTTTATTACCTTCCAAGTGTTTGCATATGATTTCCTTAATTACCTGCTCCATTATCTTCCCTGGGACAGACGTTAAACTGACCGGTCTGTAGTTTCCTGGGTTGTTCTTATTCCCCTTTTTATAGATAGGCACAATATTTGCCCTTTTCCAGTCTTCTGGAATCTCCTCTGTCTTCCATGATTTTTCAAAGATCATAGCTAAAGGCTCAGATACCTCCTCTATCAGCTCCTTGAGTTGTCTTCATCCCTTGTGGGGATCATAGACATTCACTAGAATCGATCTCACTGCGAACAAATTAAATTCTAGAAACACTTTCAAGTCACCGGCTTATATCAGGCTGATCAGAAACAACTTATTTTCTGGTGTGTGTGTGTGTGTGCATGCATGTGAGTGTGTATAGACATACACTAAAATTTCTCATGGCTTTCACAGATCAGAGATTTAGATATTTAAGGCTCCTCCCATTTGATGCCAGTATTCCCTGCAGTTGCAAGGAGTAAGGGAAGCCGATGGGAGCATTTGCTCCCATCGGCATCCCACTGTGAAGATGGTGCCAAGCTCAACTTTCGGTATGTCGACTCCAGCTACATTATTTATGTAGCTAGAGTTGTGTACCTTAGGCTGGCCTTCTGGGTCTAGCATAGTCCTGGCATAAGAAACCTGAAGATTTCAGCTACACCTGGAAATAACTGGGTTTAAAAATGTGCCTGCAAAACCTGAGGGCAATGTATAAAAGTCTGTCCCAATATTAAATAGAGCCATTCTTAATAGATACTTTGTATTTCCATAGTATCATCCCTCCTATCATCTCAAATGGTTTACAGATATTAATGAACTAAGCCATGCACTTTCTGGCAAAAAAAGTTGGTGCTGTTATGCAGATTGGGCAGGTGTAGAGATGAAGATAAGGAAGGTCTTATCCAAGATCACAGAGCAAATCTGTGGCAAATCCAAAAATTAGGACCCCGGTTATCAGTGTCCAGGTATTATGTCTGAAATAAAATAGACCATGTCTTGTATAGTCACAGAAGATACAATTTACGCCATAACCCATATCTGGCTTCATTTTATTTCTTGATATGAATTGTGACATCTTGTTTTCACTTTTGTACTTAAAACTGATAAACATCCGTTATGTATCCCTGAGCTATCACAGTTAAAAGTTGCAGCACAAACCCTTATACTTAAAGAGCTCTTTACAAAGTATCCGTGTAAACGTAGCACATGGGCCGAGTGCACCTTTGCCCCTCCCTGCACAAATAGCAATAATCAGAGCAAAATGTACGGGGAGCAGAGAAACTAGCATGCTTACACATTTCTGAGGAGCCCTACACTATGTGAAACTATCCAACTTTTCAGACTTGCGTTTTCCCCCGTGTTTTTAGATACGTTTCAAATGTCTCTGTTGTTAATGATCCATTACATATGCTTCCCTTTAATAGGATTACTGTGCGGATGAGTCTGGAACCTTTCGGGTTCTCGTTTCAAATGAGGGATGTGGCTTCACTGGAGAAAAGTGCACTAAAAGGATCACCATTCTGTTTGACAATGGAGAGATAGAGCTGTTCAACGGAAATGTATGCCCTCTGCTTCTCTTCCTTCTTCCTTTACAAAAGTCTTTCCAGTATTCTAGGATGGGTTGTAACATGGGAGATGAGCCTTCTACTGTGCTTTGATATTTGAAGGGCCATGTGATAAAATGAACAGGCCAGCGACCCAGTATGGGGAAATGTAAACTCTACATTGGATAATTATGATAGTTTGGGAATATCTGATACAATTCCACATTGGGGAATTGCATTGCTGTAATTGATCTCTACAAGTCCTGACTTGCAGATGATAGCATATATTAACCACATTTTAGGTGGGATTCTATAAGTAGCCATTGTGGGCAAAATTCCCTCTAACTTTTTCCATCTGTGTGTGGATTTTTTCCATCTGTGTGCAGAATTTTTTTTATGTGCACCAAGGCAGGTGTGAATGTGCACCACCAATAAGAAAAAAAACAAGCTGTGGGAAATTTTCTAATCAGCTGGGCAACATTTGAATCTCTTCTGAGTGGCCACACAAGTGCACTGCTTATAGGGACCACTAATAGTGGGCCATTTAACTAAAGGCATTACTGTTGCCTTTCAGTCCTTTCCCAGTATGTTAGATGGAGCAATGCTGCTGTTGCTTCTTTTGAGTCCTTCACTGGAAAATGCTCTATGCACCCTGTGCATGCATCATGGATTCTTCGTTTGAAATTCCCTAGTCTTAAGCATAGCTATTGCAAAACAAAACAAAGAACCTGTCCTTGCTTTGTAAAACTGGGGTTTAATTTAATCATATGAAGAATCAGGCAATGTTGTAGGAGCTGATGCAAATGTCAGTTTCTTTTCCCTGCCAAAAACAAATTTCGGATGGAAAATCCAGATGACTGGATGCCTCTTCCTCCCCCTTACCCCTCCCACCTTCCAACCTACTCCATGACAGGAAATAACCTTTCCAGAGCGTAGGGTTCAGCTATTTGCCTTGGGCGTTGTAACAACCAGGAATGTCTCTGTGTTCATACATTACAGATCTCCAGTGAATTAAAGAGTTTCAATTACCCAGACTTCTGAAGTACTGTATGTTGTCCTGGAATCCAGAGCAGAGCTTTGCAGAAATGTTCAGACAAACATGAAACCACACAAAATGTTCCTTGTTTGGGGTTTGACACACAAAATTGAACCAGCTTTTAACTTGGTATAAACCAGCTAACCGTTATGTTCCAGATTATTGGGGAGTGGTACTGAATGCATAAACCATGACATTTCTTGATCATGTCTGTTGTACGGTGCATTCAGACACAAGGATCGCCTGTGGGAGTGGAATATAAGACATTTCAGATCCCAAAACAATCCTGTTACTGAGTGCAACAAAAAGAAAAACCTCCCTCAACGTGTGCAAAATAATAGGCTGTTCCTGACACTGAGGTCAGTCAGTTGGAATGGAATTTGCAAGTGGGCATAGCAATGACAATGAGTACCAGATTAAAAACAAAATCTAGCTTTCATTTAGACTCCTAATGGTTGCTGTTTCATGCTTGTGAACAACAGGAGGGTGCTGGGTTCTTTTGAAAATTTGCTCCTGAAGTTATTCCATCTGTATTGCAGGTTACTCACACAACACTGAATAAACTCTCTCAGCCTCAGCTGGACAGGACATGTTTTTTCCTGTCCATAAAATTTTTTGAGATATCAAAGTGTTTTTCCTGTCATGAATCAAAAAGAAAAATATACATCAGGCAAACTTTTGAAAAACAAAATCCTCCCAAAAATTCTGTTTGAGTCAATTGAAATGTTTTGTTTTAATTTTGACAATTTTATATAAATTTGCTTAGTTTTTAAAATAAAAATCCTAGAATCTTTACATTTAGAAAACACTAAACATTTTATTTCAGCAATTTTAAAACTTTTTTTCTTTAAATGTTTTCAAGTAGAAAAATTTGTTGAAACTGACTTTGTTGTGTAAAAAGCTTGCTTTTTGACACACTGGCATTTTCCAACTAAAAAAGCTTCACTAGAAAATTCCTGATACCACTCTAGTCTCAGTGATCTTTCTTAGAATACACAGCACCTGGAGTAAGCCCTTAGCAGGGCTTTCTGCGGACAGTAACAAGCAAAAGAGAGAGTGAGCAAAAATAAGCCATGATTCAGATCTTTAGAAGGACCCCTTGCTAGAATTCCTTCAGTAGGGGGAATGGTGATGTGGGAAGTGGGGAAACTATTTTTCTTTTTACATTAAAATACTTCCACAATGTGTCAAATGTTTGAAAATGTTGTTTTGGAATCAGCTATTAGTTTTAAGTGACCCCAAAACTATACAAGGGTATGTCTACACTAGCTCATTAATTCGAGCTAGGTAGGCAAATCAGGCAATCGGAGTTGCAAATGAAACCCGGGATTTAAATATCCTGGGCTTTATTTGCATGTTCCTGTCTGGCCGCCATTTTTAAATCCCTGGGCTTCATTTGCAACTCCAGTTGCCTGATTTGCCTACCTACCTCGAATTAACGAGCTATTGTAGACATACCCTAACGTGCTTGGGGTGGGGGCGTGGACAATCTCAAGAGGCATTAAAATGCTGCATGAGATCATTTATATCCCTGTTCTGAAACAACTATGATTTGCCACTTTTCAGGGTCAGAAGTTTATTACTTCTCGGTTTGGGCCAGGAGCCTCCATAAACATAATAAATCTGTGATTTGAGTTAATCTTCCAACTCTGCTTTGACCAGTTCTGGTCCTTGTCTAAATGTTGAGAAACAAAGACTGATTTAGTGATTATGCAGATGAGAAAATATTGAAATGTGAGCTGGAGGGGAAAAAAACCTCTAGTACGTGGACTAGTGAGAGAGATGGGGGAATCTCCATTTTCTAAAACTGAAAAAAAAAAAAATTAGCAGAGTCAGGTTGAAATTGTAGTGGGCTGGTAAAGAGAAAACAGAAGTAGAACAAACACTAGGCAGATTCCGAGTGAAAGGATTCCTTTCAGAGCAGTTCTGTCTCCCTTCTACTTCACTTCAATCTGTGTATTCATCTAAATATTGGACTAAACATCAGTGAGCAGGGATAGGGCCAATCTTGCACAATGTTTATAAGAATCCTATATAATAAAAGTAGCAACATCTCTATTATATGTAGATACCTACTTTATATAGCATGCCATCTATTTGAGTGTAAATAGGGGGTATAACTCAGAAGTCTTGAGGTTCAATACAGCTGATGTCATGCACTAAAAATGGCTTCCATTGTACAGCCTGTTACCTTAAGCTGTTAATAATGATGAGTGCTCCTTATAAGGTAGTGCTAAGAGCTTTCAACTTCTCATTAAATCAGTGAGACCCACACATACTTGGGACCTCTCAGGAATTTCTTAGCAGACAGGGCTGGTAGTGAGTTCCTTTCAATCTCCTACTCTAAATCCTATCTCAGTAAGATGTCCTGTGTATTTTTCCTCAGGCGATGCTGCTAATGAATTTTTTAGTCAGCGGTCTGGTTGGAAAAACACAAATTGGCCAATCCTCTTTTTAAAAAGAGCCAGTTCCAGCAGCCTGAGGTGCTCTGCGGAACCATTAGACTATCTTCAAGACTCGAAATTCTATGTGTAATATTATCCTACCCTTAATGCCTAACTGCCATGGCAGCTGGGGAGTTTGGATCTGTTGGACGTGGGCAGTGAGGCAGTAGTAGAAGGAGGATTCCTGCACAACTGAGTGGATTGGAATCTGCTCTATCAAAGACAGAGGGGGAGAAATCCTAATTTCTCAAAGGCTATCCCCACTGCAGAGCTCTTGGGGTACATCTAGACTACATCGCTCCATCGATGGAGCCATGTAAAGTAGTTTATTTGGCATAGTCAAAGAAGCGGGGATTTAAATAATCCTTGCTTCATTACAATAAAAATGGCCACTGCGCTGTGCCGATGATCAGCTGATCCGGCACAGTGCGGCAGTCTAGATGCGGCGCGGTTGACAAAGGAAGCCTTTGTCGACCTCTCTAGTAAACCTCGTTTCACGAGAATTCACTCTTCTCCCCTAATTCACCATTTTGAGTTGGCACCTTACCAGTATTTAAACAAATAGTCATTCCATACCTTCATCACGACATGTGGCTAATAATTATATTAGGGTTCCCATTGAAAAAGAAACATTTTCAAATTTGTCTTTCACTTTATTAGTAGCTGGAGGCTGTGAAATTGTAGCAAAACCTGGACAGAAAGAGGTCCCAAGCCTAGAAAACTGGCAGGAGAGGGCAGGGGGAAGTATAGGTGTTGGAAAAGTTATTTGATAAAAAAGAAATCCAAAGACTTCCTGTTGCTGGGGCTACCCTTTTATATGGCAGCAGAAGCAAATTCTTCCCCGCTTTGAATCAGAACCTGCCCCTTGAGTCCAGTGGTTAATATGGAAGGAATTTTGTGCACTTTGCTATTTATTTTTGTTTCTGCTATTGCAGAAATCCTGGATCTGATGATTGTTATGGTTTCTAAAAAAGGAAACTGATACTGATTTCTGTCAGTTACTTATTAATTGACCACTCATTGACTTAACTGAATTTACCTAGTCATCCTTTTCTTAGCAAATCCATCTCCAGTGCTATTTCCGTTTAAGAATGATTCCTTTGGGGGCTCTGGAAACACTACTTCTGATAACTTGTAATCAGCGTGAAACAAATGTGTTTCCATCACAGTTCCCTGTACCATTCCAAGTTGTTTTGTTAAAACAATAATTCATCCACAGAAAGGTTTCTGTGTGGGACATATTAGTTTGTGCTCAACACTATATGCTATCAATATAGACATTCCTGTAGGATGCGCTCCCCAGCAACAATAGGCTCTCAACTAATCATACTGCAGTAATTCTCAAAAGTGCCCTTCGTTAGCGGGTACATGTACCACGGAGGGAAGTTGCCTGTTAAATATGTGGTCTTGGAGCTGCCATTGAGCACACTGTGGTTTTCATGTTTAGGTGGATATCAAGAAGCCCCTTAGAGAGGAAACCAATTTTGAAGTCCTGAAGTCTGGGCGCTATTATATTCTCTTACTGGGCAAAGGAATCTCTGTAACGTGGGATCTGGCCATGGGGGTGTCTGTTATCTTGAAAGAACATTTCAGCGTAAGTACCTTTGATTTAGTTCTCATTCTCTCTAGGAAAGTGCTCATCATGTTCCCGAATGAATATACTTGGACAGATCCTTCTGGGGTGCAAGGAAGGAATTTAGTACTTCTTACACTGACACATTATTAGATTCATGTGAAACATTAGGCTCTCTCTCATAAAACCCAAAAGGTCTTTCTTCTAATATGCTACGGATGGTTATTTTTCTCCAGTGGTTCAACACTAAGGGCTCAGTTCTGGTTCTCAATAGGTTGAGCCATGTTGGGAATGGAGAGGGAGGAGGAGCATTTAGGCATCATGCCCTCAATGAGTTAAATGAAAGGGACAGTTTATTTGGGGAACTGAAGGGAATGCATTGCTGAACAGGCTTTGCTGATGCTCTCCACAGGACAGTGACCTTCATGACAACAGAAGTGAGCCCATAGCTAAATCCACGTCTCACCCAGACACACTCCCTGTAGAGACGGTCTGAACAGGCAGAGGTAGCCAGTGTCCCTTTCCTGCTCTCTAGATTGCTGGGAGGCAGATCAGTCCTGTTGGTATGGTGGGAATGCAGGCTAAAGGCCTTTGCTAATAGTAGTGTACCTGCCAGAGCATAATTTAGTCTTGCATCTATAGAGCCTGCGAATAAAAGGCCCCATGTCAGTCTAAAGGTGGAATATTTATATGTTTGTGTTTCTTTTCATGAAAGGATCAAGTGTGTGGTCTGTGTGGGAATTTTGATGGAATCCAAAACAATGATTTGACCAGCAGCAATAAGCATCTTGAAGTGGATCCAGTTGACTTTGGGAATTCCTGGAAAGTCGATCCACATTGTGCTGATGTCAGAAAGGTGACTGTGAAAACTGTTTACTAATGGTTACTAGGCCAATTAGGGATTGCTGAATGGCTTTGGAGGAAAACTAACTAACCCCTCTCCCAGAATTCACACCAAACTGAAGTATTTTCTGAGATCTGATAAAGGTTCAGTTAACATTTTTGTTTTCCAAGACCTCTGTGCTGCTTGCATTTGGACAAATGTTTAAACAGAACAGCCTCTATCACATGATTCAGCTGACAACATGCCAGCCCAGATGCAGGAGCTCCAGCTATAACCGGAAATCACATCTGAGAGCCCGATTTCTCAGAATTTCTAGCTACATTTCCAGAAAGGAGGAGTTCAGATTAAACATCCCGTTTCCCATTATCCAAACCTTTATAATGTGTCCATTATGAGCATTTGCTAGTCCCTGGAGTTTTTCCAAACTGCATATTCAACCCTGGATTCCTGTGATCCTTGCAAGGTGTTTGGGTTTTTTTGTAAGATGAAGATAGATTTAACCAGCAGGATGTATTTGGGTAGCACAAGTTAAGAAGATTCCTAGTAACTCAAGTACATGGGGGCATGAGATTCGGAGACAGAGAAACAATACTAGGGGATTGTTTTAGGAAACTTATAATGATCAAAAGATCATGGTAAAATGAGAACTATGATGGAAAAGGGAGAGAAGGCAGAGGCATAAGCTCTGAATAGGTCATGGCAGCAATTTGCAAATTCTTAGTAAGTCATGGGCCTACTATTCCCATCAAAGCCAGTGGAAGTTTCAACATTGTCTAAAATTGGAGCAGGATTGGACTCCCAATAGGATCCTCAGGTAACACATGACTTAAAAGTTGGCTGTGCTAAAAATAAGCATCTTTTTCCTTCGCTTCTCTTGGTTTCCTTAGGAAAGGCATCCCATTTGTATATATTGCTAAGTGATGCACCTAGTCAAGGTAAGCAGCATGTGTGACACTGTGCCTGGAGCATAGGCACCATCATAGTATATAGATGGGTTCCCAAGCACACAAAAATAGGCCCCCTTTAAAGTCTGCCAAATTCAAAGTTACCCATATCCTAACTTTCTTCTCACGAAATAGTTGTGCAGCCCATCCCACCCGCATTCCCTAGAAGCTGCCTTTCTCCTCAATCCCTGCTACCCGTTGGTAGCTTCACCATTTCTCTTCTTTCCCCCTTTAGGCCTGCCTTATTGCTGCTCTCTTCCTTCTTCCCTGCTGTTTACCCTCCAACCAGGGATGTCAGTAGGTGGGTTTTTCTTCTGGGGCTGGTGACACTGGATGGTCTCTCTCTGCTCCCTTGTTTCAAAGTAGGCACTTTTCTTTCCAGTAAAGGTAGGTATTAGCACCCTTTCCTGTCCCATGTCACTCCTCTTTCTTCCAGGCTAGCTAGACAACCCAAGCATTGTGGCAACACAGGTTTGAGTGTGAACCACACAAGCCTGCCTGGACTCTGGATAATTAGTTACTCAAGGAACTAGCCCAGGCTGAAGCCCACGCTGGTGTGACTTTGCTGCTACTGGTACCCGGGTTAGCTAGATTAAAGCTAGCTTAGGTCAGGGCCAGCCCAAACCCTTTTGGCGCCCTGGGCCTGGGCGTGTGGTGCCACCCCCGGGCGCACGGCGCATGCGCAGGCCCACCTGTGGGGCATGGGCTCGTCCCCCCAAGGAGCATGGGCACAGCACATGCGTGCGCCGGCCATGGCCACTGGTGCACAGCCCAGGGCCTGCCCCCGGGTCACACAGTGCATGCGCTGCCCAGCCTGGCCTGGTGTGCGCTGCTGGCGCACGCGCCGGGCTGTGCAAGGCCCCGCGGCCATGGGGGAAAGGGCACTGCTCGCCAGCGCTGCAGGGCCAGCACTGCGGGAGCCGGGCACGCGGTGCCTAATGGCAGCTGTAAGAGACGCCGTGCACCCCTTACAGCTGCCATCAGGCACCCCTCATTGGTTGGTGCCCCAGGCAGCTGCCCGGCTCGCCCATGCCTCCGTCCAGCCCTGGCTCAGGTGTACCTGTGCAAAAGCCATCACACTCCATGACTGCAGTGGAAACATCTGTAGCTCTGCCCTCTATCCTTAATCTTCCTTTTTTCTTCCTCCAACTGTTCACGAGCTAATCGGGAGTCTCACAATGGGTCTCTTCCTACTGCAGCATTGGTGGTTTCTGTTGTCATCTGGAACCCCAAGTTGGTAAATTGAAAAGTTTAACAAATGAAAAGAACTAAACATACTGTGTAGATTTTGCATATTTTTATGTTTCTGTATTTTAAATATATAATATGGAAGCAAATTTCAAAAGAAAATTTTGTTCCAACCTGAAAAGAACAAAACATTTCATTTAGAAATGTCAGGATACATTTCGGTTGGACTTTGTTGGATTTTTTTTTTAAAGTGAACCATTTGGCAAAATTGGAAAATATTTTGCTTTCGTGAAATCTGCATTTGTCACTGACAGTTTTCACCCAGCTCTACTGATGAGGTGATTTGGCGTAGGCTAGCCTCTGCCATTGCCACATGGTTTTCCCTCCGTTGGATCAATTGGCTCTTCATCCAATAAGCAAATAGTTTATGAAAAATATGTAGTGGAAAGAGGCAGCCATATATACGCAGTTAAGTGAAAATTCTGATGTTCAAAGGCCAGGGCTAACATGAGCATCTCTGCTTGTGTCTTGTAACATTAAGATCCCACAGGGGCAGACTGTGGCTACTTCATTGTGCAATGACAACTTAGAGAAGCAAGTGATGGTGGAAACTTCATGCAACATATTGACCAGTGAACTCTTCAAAGAATGCAAAAAACTGGTAAGTCTTTTGTCATTCCCTTCCAGTCTTCTGTTCCTACATAGTCTATACAGAAAGGGCTTACAGTTGTGGGACCTACCAATCTGCCATTGCTTGAGACAGCATCTTGGATACTAATATGAGAGAGGTGATGCTGGCAGTGACTTCACACTGGAATGTGCTGAGATTGTTTGTCTCTTCTAGTATCCCATTGCTGAAACTGACCGGCACTATGAGGAAGGTGCAAGAGACACCCTTGGTGGACAGTTACTGACTAATAGGCCCACAAAAGAAACGTCATCTTAACCCTCAGGCAGTTAGTGGTTGACATCTATCCTGTAGTATGTAGACTTACACCTTAAAACAAAAAACAATGCCCTCCCCACAAACAACAAAACCCAGATTTAATTAAACTGTGGGTGTTCTCTTTATCTCTATCACTGTTTATTTTTTCTTGAAACTTACTGAGCTCTCTGCCTTATTGATTATACTGTGGCAATGAGTTAATTGTGCACTATGAAAAAAAAGTCTTTCCTTTTATCAGTTATGTATCCTTCGCCTTGGTTTCATTAGATGTCCTCTCATTCTTTTATTATATGAAAGAATAAACAGGAGCATCCCATTTACTATGTCTACTATTCATTATATTCTCATATGATAAACTGCTCTTATTTATCTCCTTTCTACGTTAAACAGTTCAGAAGACTTTCCTGGGTCTTTGAATTCTGTCTTTTCCTATTAGATCTTTTTTGAGGCACAGTGAAGAAAACAGCACCCCATTTTCCAGGGGATGGCATACCACTTATCTGTGTAATGGCCTGATAATATTTTCACTAGTATTCCATTTAATCAAATTAATACAATCTGTTAATTTGAATCTAAATTTAAATTTGCCTCCCCATTTGTCCGTTAACATGATGAATGGGTAAATCCCTTGGACCTGACCCAAATCCCATTGAAATCAATGTGAGTCTTTCTGTTAACTTCACTGGACATTTGTTTTCTTTGTTCCATGTAATAACTAGAAGTATACAAAAAATGGTGGTCAGGGAATCACATTTTTTCAGTCCCTTCTATTATTGTGATATTTAGTCTGATAAGCAATAGGAGCTGCTAAACTTCCTAGGCTGGAAAGGAAGAGTCCTCATAAAGGTCACTCATGAAGAGTGCGGGTCATTTGCCAGGCTTATCTGGTATATCTCACTTAATCCTTTCCCTGCCATTGCAGCAGCCTTTGACACTAGTGCACGTTGGTGCCTGCAATTCTGTGCCTGCAGCACATATGAGTTTAGTCTCCTGAGGGCTGTCTTTTTGGTTGTTGGGTTTTATGTGTGAGTGCTGGGTGGTGGTGGTGGTCTGTCAGGTACTACAGGTCAGACTAGATTAACAGCTTCTGGTCTTAAACTGGGTCATTTTTAGCAATTAGAACTTTTGTTTTTCTTTAAAGGGCCTGATTCTCATTTATACTTAGGGTCCTTGAAAATTCTGTGAGAGTGACTATTTCACACCTACATTGGGGCCTCATTACATTGCTATAGGAACATGAAAGGGCCTTAGTATGTATAAGAAGCAGGTCCAGAAGATGTAAATATGTTTCTATATTTCTCACCAGTTAATGATTCCTAGAAACTGTAGTTTGCTTGAAGTGTTGCTCAGGTGTTATGACCTTGGGTGTGACATTAGTGGAATAGCCTTCTGCGACTTTGGTGTAAATCAGATGTGGTGCCAAATGTACAAGCAAAGGATGTCATGGGCAAATCTGTCTAGAGGCAGGAGAGTCATGAAATGAGCTCATACTGTGTAACTCTTCCTGTAGGTGAATCCCGAGCCATATATGGATATCTGCATGTATGATACTTGTACCTGCGAATCCATTGGGGATTGTGCTTGCTTCTGTGATGCTATTGCAGCCTATGCCCATATCTGTGCAGAAAAAGGTGTGGTTGTTCACTGGAGATCATCTACTCTGTGTCGTAAGTACCAGATGGCGGAATGCAACCCGGGGTAATGGCTTGCCAGGAAAACCAAAGACTTGCTAGTTTGTAATCAGCGGATGGCTCAGCTAGATCACATTTTCATTAAACCCAGTCCTGCTCTTAATGATGTAAGTAGGAGTCCTGCTGTTAATGTTCATGGGAATAGGACTTGGCAAAAGTCCCCAGTCATGGGAACACAGGTTGATGGTTCCTCAAGGTAAACCTTTGTCTGCTACATTTTCATGCATGCCCCAGATCAGTGGTTCCTAACCTTTTTTATACTGCGAACCAGCAAACCCATTTGCAGACTTTTGGCGGACTGGTAACATTTTATTTGCATGTTTGCACATTCATTATGCAAATAATGAACATACAAATATGCAAATGGAATGTTACCGGTCCACCTAGCCTCAACCCAGCCCCTTGCTCCCCAACACCTAAAACCCTTTGTCCCCCCAACCCTATGCCCTGTGCCTTTTGACCCTTTAACCTCTGACTCTCACTGCCCAGGCCAACACCAAGAGGTTGGTGACCCCTTCTTGCCCCATGACCACACCACACCCCACCCCTGCATTCTCCAGAACAAGACTGCCCTCTCTAGGGTCCGTGGCCGTTACTGCCACGTGGGCAGGGGGAGTGACCATTGGAAGCATATCCCCTCACTCCTCAAGCATGTCTCATGCCCCCACGGATAGAGATGGTGGGGCACATGGAGCTGCAGCTGGGCCAACAACTTACCTAGTTGGAAGGAGGAAGGAGGGAGGGAGGCACCTCCTGCTTCTCCTCCTTCTTCTCCTGCTGCCACCTCAGCCCCAGCACCACTGCCAGGCAAAATCAGCCACAATGGCTGCTGGAGCTGAGCAGCTACAAATAACCAGCATCAGCTCTGGCAGCCACTGCGGCTCGGCAGCCAGCAGTTTGCAGACTGGCACCAGTTCACTGACAGGCAGTTGGGATCTGCTGCCCCAGATCACACCTTGAAAAAAGATAGTGCTTGCTCCTTTTATAAGGAAAACACAGTAGACATGGACATACAAATCTGAAATGAGAAATGGAAATGTTTGCTCAATTGAAAGTGAAAGTTTATTCTTAGCAATTATTTTTAGCAGCAGCCAGTGATCACAGCATAGGTTTGGGTGTATAAAAAGAATAAAGTGTGGCCAGCCACTGATGTGCCCAAAATACACACTTCTCAGTTAAATATGTGGCCCCAAGCCCTCTGCCTAGGATCCAAGAGGAGTTGTGAATGCAATCTGAGATAACCTTTTAACTGGTTCTTATTGCATAGCACAAAGTTGCGAGGACCTGAATAAGCGTGAATTGGAGTATCAGTGTGAATGGAGATACAACAGCTGTGGACCTGCCTGCCCTATATCATGCCAGCACTTTGAACCTGTGGCGTGCCCTCTGCAATGTGTAGAAGGATGCCATGTGCACTGTCCTGAAGGTAAACCACTCTCTTTTTTTACGCAGTTGATTGACATTTCCTGCCCAGTTCTAATCGCTTACTGCCGTGGCAGGGTCAGGCTAGATGATGACAGGAGAGTAATCGAAAGCAGGTATGTTAGTCCCAGAAAACAGGTCTCCTTTCCCTGGGTAAGGTCAAAAGAGCTAATAGAGAACAATCAGGAACTTGGCAGAATCCGCTTAGGCAGACAAGTTAATTGAGGCCCCTGAAATGTATCAGGAACTTTCTAGAACCATTTAAGACAGTTTGATCAGGACATCTGGCACCAATTAAGAGATGGCTAGTACTGGTTAAAAAGACTCCCTGTCTGCTAGCTCACTGTGTGCAAGGAGCTGGGGAGAGAAGTTGCTGTAGAAGGTCCGTGAGGTACAGACGCTATCCGGTATCAAGAGGAAGAGCCTGCAGTAAGGAAGGCTCTGGGGAGAGCTATTGGGAAGCGGCCCAGGGAACTGAAGTTGGCACACTGCTGACAATGGGGACATTACAGGCAGCTGCTATCACAGGGTCTGTGAGTAGAAGGCAGGCCCAGGTTCCTCCCTCCAGCCCCAATTCCCTATTCACCATAGGAGAGTTAATCCAGACAGTGGGACACACCATAGGAGAAGTATGAATTTGGGAAAAAATATATTTCCCATCCCCAAAACACTTGGAGGGGCAGAAGAGACTCTGGGGTTTGGTCTCCTCTCTTTCCCCCATGCTGGATAATGATGAAGGTGGGTAAATAAACGACAAGCGTGTGCCCCATATCTCTAGATTGGTGGCTCTGGGAGAAGTGAGAGCTGAACCCACTGGGTATATCGTTATGTAGTGTGGTGTTTTGCACTTAAATATTAGGGCAGGTCCACCCTACTGCTTGAGTCAATCTAAGCTGTATCACTCAGGGCTGTGAAAAAGACTTTCCTGGACAATGCAAGTTACAGCGACCTAAGCACTGTCAATGTTGCGCTATGTCCTGGCAACACAGCTTCCTCCTCTCCTGGAGATGGAGAAGTAATGCTGATGGGAGAGTGCTCGCCTGTTGGCAGACAGCATCTTCACCAGCCACACTATCGCACTGGAACTGAATTGGTTGAGCTGCACTGATGTAGTGCTTCTAACGTAGACCTGCCCTTAGATGCCCTAGTCGTACCTAAGATGAATAGTCACAGCAGGGAGAAAATGACAAATCAGCCTGCAAGGAGGCAGTAAAAATGCCCAAAGGGATCAAGAAAAATCAGTCACATGGATGCAAAAGGGTAAATGCCATTTTCTTCTGGTGTACCTGGTTTTCCATCTAAGAATACATTCACTCTGTATGTAGCATGTCCCACTGCATATAATATGCTCCGGTGTTAGTATTTTGAATATATCAATAAAAATACTATAGACTAAAATAAAGATTTACTCTGTTTCAAATTAACAGCTAGATTAATAACAAGAGCATGTTCTGAACCTTTGAGCCAAATGCCAATACCATTGATTGTCACATTTTTAAAGCCGCTAAATACAGCAATCTGCTTAACATCTGCTTAGCGACTTATGAAAACCTGCTGTTTTGTTCTAAAACAGGGAAAATACTTGATGAACTATCCCAGTCATGTGTTAGTCCAGAAGACTGTCCTGTTTGTATATTAGAAAGTGCCAGGATCCCCCATGGAAAGAAGGTTGTTTTGAACAAAGATGATCATGAACATTGTCGGTCTTGGTAAGATACGGATTTTTATTCAACATGAGTGTCTTTCATGGGGGAAGTGCATACTTTAGAAATGAAGTGCATAATGTGGATCCAGTTATAATATACAATTATATGATGCCTTTTTTCAAGCACAATAGAAACAGAAATTTTCAACAACACTAAGGGTATTAGGCACCCAGATTTTATTGAAATTTGATGGGAATGAGGTGTCTAACTTCATGAAGCTGCTTTGATAACCCTACCTGTTCTCCAGAAGTGATCATGTTGTTACTAGAGAATAAGATCTATTTAGCATGAGAATAAGATCTATTTATCAGAATATGGACCTACATCGATATGAGGGCAGGGGACTGGACTCAATGACCTCTTGAGGTCCCTTCCAGTCCTAGTATTCTATGATTCTATGATACTTTAAAATCCTATATAGAGTTAAGCATCTGACTCTGTGAACTGTCTAGAACTCCAAGACTATTAGGAGTTGGAAGCTTCTGCTGTGTAACTGGAAAAGTAATTTCCCCAAGATTTACAGAAGATATTCTAGGGTCCAATCCTGTAAGTATTTACATCCCGGGATTATGGAGTCCAGTGGTTTTCAAACATTTTATTCTCATGACCCAGTTGAAAATTTTGTTTTATATTTACAATCCAACATAATTCTATCTTTTGACTAGAATTCAGGCTAAGGATGTTAAATATCGATTAATTTACTAGTCGAGTAATCGATGGAACTTCCCACTGGAAGTCCTGCTGACTCCAAGCTCCCAGGGGCCCTTGTGCATTTCAGAGCAGAAGTGTCTGCTGACCCTGGGCTCCATGTGGCACTGCCGCTTTGAAATGCCATGTGCCGAGTCCGGGATCAGCTCAGGAGTCCCCAGCTGATCCTGGGTTCTGTGGAAATGCTGTGCAGAGCCTGGGATCAGCTTGGAACTCCCCAGATGACTCCAGGTTCTGTAGAAATGCTGCACAGAGCCTGAGGTCAGCCAGGGAGTCCCCAGCTGCCCCGTCCCCCCAGTACTGCCTCTTTGATACCCTCTCTCCCCCACCTTTGCTGCCTCTATCTGATAGAGGCAGCAATTGGGGTGGGGGAACCGACTAGTCCTTAACATCCTTAGTGCGGGCTCTGGGGTGAGGCTGGGGATGATGAGTTTGGGGTGCAGGAGGAGACTCCTACTTGGGATTCTGGGTTGGAGCAGGGGATTGGGGTATGGGGTTGGGACACGGGCTTATCTCCAGTGGCTCCCAGTCAGCAGGCATGCCTGTCCTGGCATTATGGACCACGCTGCACCCTGGGAGTAGAAGGTCCATCTCTCAGGCAGAGGCACTCAAGCAGCTCCGTGCTCTGCTCCTACCCACAAGTACCCCCCAGAACTGGTGCTTAGCGCAGGGACAGCACACGGAGCCGCATGCCTCCCTCTCCTGCCTAGGAGCCAGATCTGCTGCTGGCTGCTTCCGGGGTGCAGTGTGGTCAGTGGTGCCAGGACAGGCAGGAAGCCAGCCTTAGTCTTAGCACCCCTTAGCACCCTGCTGGTCACCTAGTTACTCAACATCAAGGTGACCCAGTGCCTGATATTCCATGTCCCAGGAGTCGGTCATGACCTGTAGTTTTAATACCACTGATGAAGTCAATGGAACGTGCATGGTAGTGTAACCACTAAACAGAATCAAGGCCTTAAATTGCTTTGCCCAAATAACTCATTATTTATGTGTCCTGTACACTAGGAAAGTGTGTAATAATGTTGGCATTCTTCAGATACCCATCCTTGGATAGATACCTCCATTAGTCAGGCGTAGTGTTGCAAATGTATCTTGTTTCCCTCCTGTAATTTGCTCACATTTCCTAGGAATGGATGTAAATCTGCAAAAACGATGGGCTCAGACTAAAACACTAGATCCAAACATCCTGACCATTTTGGAAGTTCAAACTTTGAATCTCTGGCCTGTCTCTGATAGTAACTAATTCTGTATTTTACAAGCCCCATGGAATTAGCTCTGTTATGTTGATTAATTAAGTAATGTACTTTCTTTTAACAGTAAAGTTTGCAAGCCCCGAATTCCATCAAAAGGTCAAAAATGCATTTACGTAAACCAGTCCCCTGATCTTCACAATACTTAATAATAATTTATCTTTAATGCTGATACACTGACCACCACTCACATAAGGTTTTAGAACATTATGTAAACGTACCTCACTAGGGAAACATCTTTGCACGTAGCTGTCACCTAATTTAGATGCCTACACCATCTGTACAAACAATAGAAAACATTGTACAAAACTGAATTTTATAGCAAATATCCAAAGGAAATTGGAATCCCATTCACAAAATATTACATTAGGATTAAAATAATAAATCATATGTTACAATATGCTAAATGCCAAAGGGAGTTGTGTATTCTTCAATTAAGAAGCTAAAAGCAACGTGAAAGAACACAGCTTTGGGAGAGCTGGAATTTGGATGTCGCATTTAAAGGTCTGTTTTGCTCTGAAAAATGGTGTCTTCATTCTGCATTGACTGTTCCTCATAGTGCTTTAGTTAATGAAGCAAATAAGTGTTTACTGCCCATCATTCTGGTTAGCACTGCAAAGCTGGCATGGCTCAGAGAGAAGAGGTTGCAAGCCATCCTTTTACACACATCTTTGACAGAATTGTTTACTAAGTTCCAATAAAAAACCAACGAATAGTCTAGCAGCACCTTAAAGACTAAGAAAACATGTAGAAGGCACTGTGAGCTTTCGTGGGTACAACAGTTATGCTTGTGCAGCCATGTGAAAGACAGGAAAGTTTCACAAGAACCATTTTGGGACAGGAAAACATGGCCCAAAGAAGCTGCAGATGATGATTGAGAAGGAAAAAATTCAGCTTGTCTCTCACATCCCAGCTTGGAGTTTGCAGCTTTGGACAGCTTATGAAGTATGCATTTGCTGCTGACATAATTAAGAGAATCTCAAGGTTTAATTTTTAGAGCAGATTTTCAGATTGAGAGAGTATGGATCAGATTCTGATCTCAGTCACTCTGCTGTAAATCCTGAGCAACTCCACTGAAGTTATGTTTTGTCATTGGTCTCACAGGGTATGTCTACACTGCATTCCTCTTTCGAGAGAGGAATGCAAATGCAGACGAATGAAATTGCAAATGAAGCGTGGATTTGAATTTCCCGTGCTTCATTTGCATAATTGCGTCCGGGCGCTATTTCAAAATACTCTATTTCAAAGAAAGAAACTCTATCTAGACACGGTTATTTCAAAAGAAAACCCTTCTTTTGAAATTACCCTTACTCCGTATAAAATGAGGTTTAAAGGTAATTTCAAAAGAAAGGTTTTCTTTCGAAATAACTGGGTCTAGACAGCATTTCTTTTTTCGAAATACAGTATTTTGAAATAGCGCCTGGACGCAATTATGCAAATGAAGCACAGGAAATTCAAATCCGCGCTTCATTTGCAATTTCGCTCAGCTGTATTTGCATTCCTCTCTCAAAAGAGGAATGCAGTGTAGACATACAAACAGTATACTGTACACAGTTCTCATTGCCTGGAGTTGTGAGTTAGAAGAGTGTTGTTTCGCTCTTTTAGCAGTGAGGACAAAATGCCAGCAATGTCTCTGTAGTTCTGTCTTACGTACTGTGGTAATGGGAGCTCTAGAATAACCTGAGAGAAAGAGAGATTACAGAGATATTTGAATCTAAAAAATGCTTGATTTGAGGTGCTGGTCTGTTATAAGGTTTGGCAAACCTTTAATTTTTTGCCAGACTGTTCTGTGCATTGCTACTGTGAATTATTGAAGTGGCTTTGGAGCACCTATTCAGTTGCGCCGTTCATAGGGAAGATTATTGAACATATCAGCTCAAATATATCCATTGTCTTATCAAAATCGGGGGAAAGAATTTTGAAAATACCATTACAGTGTTACTGTATCTGAAATTACAGCATTAATCAATCTGAAACCAAACCAATAACCTCAGCTGCCCAGATTCTTCAGAAAATCTTGAATTTTCTCCATCTTTTCTAGGGGTTCTTAGATTTCTGGAGGAACAAAGACCATTTCACACATTTTCCCTCTACCCCGTGTCTGATATTGTCTTGTAAACATGTACAAATGCATTGTGTGTTATTCCACTATCCTGTGCGTGGACTCAGGAGTGCACCTTACTCTATCAGGCAGAGAGAAGAGCACAGAACAGATGCGATTGGCAGTGTAGGGGCTGCTGAAGACATGCTAAGAGAGCAAAAGTCATCTCCTGCAAGGTTGTAGAGAGAGCAGGGGAGCAGTAGATGGGAAAACTTATGGGGATGTGAGAGAGGTGAAGAGAAAGGAGTAAGAGAGAAATTGTGTGTAGGGGGTGGAGAAAGAAGGCCTAAAGAAATGGGGGGTGGAAATGGGCATGTTACAGTGGAGGTGTGTAGGGGGTGGAGAAAGAAGGCCTAAATAAATGGGGGTGGAAATGGGCATGTTACAGTGTAAATGAACAGAGGGAAACATTTGGAAGGAAAGAGAAATAAAGAAAGAATAAAAGTAAGGAAGAGAGGACAGCCCCTATATTTTTTTGAGAGAGAGAGAAGGGAAGAGAAAAGGGACAGAGAGAAAGAGCAAGGAAAAGAGCTGGAAGAATTTCAGTTTACGGGAAAGGGGGAAATAAGGTAAAAAAAATGAGCAAAACACACATGGCCAAAACTAAACTCAAGATATTAAGAAAAAGGCGAGAGAAATAAGAGGAATAATAAGATGGTCTAAAACACAAAAGGGGGGGCAGAGGGATCCAGTTGAATTCAATCAGTTTCATAGTGGCAAAAGGACATTGGGTATTTCTAGACTACATGCCTCTGGTGACAGAGGCATGTAGATTAGGCTACCCGGCATAGGGAAATGAAGCGGCGATTTAAATAATCGCTGCTTCATTTAAATTTAAGTGGCTGCCGCGCTGTGCCAATCAGCTGTTTGTTGGCTCAGCATGCTAGTCTGGATGCTCCGCAGTTGACGACCGCGGAGTGTCCAGACTAGTGTGCTGACAAACAACTGATCGGCTCAGCGTGGCAGCCATTTAAATTTAAATGAAGTGGTGATTATTTAAATCGCCGCTTCATTTCCCTATGCCGGGTAGCCTAATCTACATGCCTCTGTTGCCAGAGACATGTAGTCTAGATGTACCCCAGGATTGGATGTTTTTCTATGTATGGAATTTCAATTTAAGATTTCAGGATTAAACAAACCCATGGCACGAGGTGCACTGCAGAAGGGCTTAGTGTTCACTCTTGGGGGCGGGTGGAGAAAAAAGTGCTCTTAATTCATGATGGATAACTTGAACAAACTAACTTGAGGTATAATCCTCATTAAGGCAAGCCAATATGTATTTTTCACATGAGTTAGCAGGTCAACTTTCCCTCAAGTTTCCCTTGTTTCCCTCAAAGTCCTTAACTCAACATGCCAAATTATTTGCTGCCTTGTCTTCATTAGGATTTTACCTCTAGTCAGGTCATTAAAGATAAATAACTCAACTTAGGAATAAACATTTTTTTCCTAGTGAAGACATAACCGTAGGGTGCAAACCAAATCTACTAGTTATGTTTACCATCTTTAATGCCAAGGTTACTTTGTGTCATGTGTCAAAGAATGTTCAGCTAAAAACAACTCGAGAAGATGTTTATCTAATAAACATAGTACTTTTTACATGCTTCCTGCATACCGTACATTAATGTATTTCCATTAACAATGACTCCATTATCATGTGACCAAGGATTGCTGGAGGAATAAGGAGATTTGTGCATAATTTGGTAGGTAGCACCACTGGTGGCAGATGTTTTTTCCCAGTGAAGCAACAATCATAGCGCACTGATCATGGTAGGATATGGAACTTGATAGTCCATTGATGTAGTCTAGCATGACAAATTATATGTTTGTACTAAATTGTTTGTATGCTCATTTCTATGTAAGATATAACACTTAAACCTGGGGTGATGTATTGTTATGAAAGTTCATTTTATCTCTAGCTTTTGGTGGTTCTTGCAGTTACTGTGAAGGAAAGAACTTAACATGTAGTGCCTGTGTGTCAGAAATGAGTACACAAACTCCACTTGCTACAGAGGAACCAGATCTAGACGTGGGGACACGTGTTTACTCCTGCAGCAAAATGATGGACCTGGCCTTCCTGATGGATGGTTCCAACAAGCTCTCAGAAAAGGACTTTGAAATATTAAAAGCTTTCATTATTAGCATGATGGAAAACCTCCACATCTCCCAAAAGAAAATCCGTGTGTCAGTTCTGGAATACTGCACTGGGTCCAACATCTATCTTGGGCTCAAAGATATTAAAACACAATCTCAGATGAAGAAAATTGTCCGAAACATAAAATACACTGGTGGAGAAGTTGCCTCTGCCACTGAAGTGCTTAAATATGTTGTATTCCATGTGTTTGGAAAAGCCCCAAGGACGAATGCTGCCAGAATAGCTCTGTTGCTGACAGCCAGCAAATCTCCAGGAAAAATTCAGAGCATCCTCCCTCTTCTGAAACGGAAGAAAGTCACGGTAATACCAGTAGGAATTGGACCATTTATTAGTATGGAGCAAATCAAGCTAATTGAAAGGGCATGGCCAGAAAACAAGGCCTTCATAATGAACAACGTGCAGGAGTTAATGGAAAATGGGGAAGAAATAATCAATTACCTGTGTGATCTTGTGCCTGAAGAATTAACAACTACCACCCAAAAACCTATCACAACCCCACCCAGGACAGCTAAAGTGACAACACCCTATCAAGACAGGATGAAGTTCACGGGTTTAACAACACTGCTGCCACTTCAAAGAAAAGTAATTGATATAGCTTTTGTTGTTGAAGGGTCTGAAAAAGTAGGACAGGAGAATTTTAATATTATCAAGGAGTTCATTGCAAAAGTTATCAGAGAAATGGACATTGGAGAAGAAGCCATTCATATTACTATTATACAGTACTCCTACACGGTCACTGTTGAGTACTCCTTCACTGAAACTCAGTCAAAGCAAGACATTATTGAGAAGGTCAGGAAGATACAGTACCAAGGAGGGAATGCCACCAACACTGGAAATGCCCTCAGCTATGTGTCTGAACACACCTTTACCACAGACAATGGGGGCAGGAGACAAGTGCCACACTTAGTCTACATGGTAACTGCAAACCCTGCCACTGATGTCATCTCACGTGTTGAGAGTGACATAAATGTGATCCCTATAGCTATTACCCCCAACGCAAACCTTCAAGAGCTCGAGAAGATCAGTGAACGGCACATCCCAGTAATCATAGAGGGTTATAATGAACTTATTCAAGAAGCGCCTGACTTAGTGTTGAAAACCTGCTGCTCAGAGAAATCCACAGTGGCCCCAGTCATTAGAGGTAACTTTGGATATATTTATATGTATTTTCTTTTTTTATTTCTCATCAGGATTTCTCTTTAGTCAGGGAAGGATTCTGTTTTGCATGTTGCTTTCTATTCAGTTTGTGATCCTCTATAATTGTCAAATCCTATTCAGCAGTACCACCATTTAGTAAGTTGTTCTCCATTTTTAGTTGTGTATTTGATTTTTTCCCTTACTAAGTAAGTAAGGTCCTTTATCCTTGTCTTTATTCAGTATCATCTTGTTGAGTTCAGACCAATGATCCAGTTGGCAAGGTCAATTCAGAATTGTAATTCTGTCCTTAAAAGTTCTTGCCACCCCACCTTGTTTGGTTTCATCCGCAAATTATGGAAGCACACTCTCCACGCTCTTATCCAGGTCATATTACATAACACTGGACTTCGGACTGACTTAGGACTGACCTCTATAGGACTGGATATGCCCTCCCAATATGACAGTGAACAGTTGTTGAATATGGTCTATCAACCAGTTGTGTAGTCATGTTATAGTAAATTCATCTCTAGACCACATTTCCACAGTTTGCTTGTGAGAATGTCATGTGGGACTGTCAAAAGCCTTACTAAAATCAAGATATATCACATCTACTGCTTCTTCCCTATCCACTGAGTCAGTAATTCTGTCAGGAAGGAAATCAGGTGGATTTGGCATGATTTGTTCTTGATAGATCCATTCTGGTTATTTCTTTAACCCTAATGGTACTGGAAATGCCTACAAATTGATTATTAGTAATTTGTTCTAGTATCTTTCCATGTATCAAAGTTAGGCTGACAGGTCTATAATTCCTCAGGTTCTTTTTATTTCCCCTTTAAAGATAGATACTATGTTTAAAGATAGGTACTATGTTTGTCCTTCTGTAGTCCTGTGGAATCTCATCTCTCCTCCATGAGTTCTCAAAGATAGTTGATAATAGTTCTGAGACTGTTTCAATTAATACCTCAAGTAACCTGGGAGGAATGTCAACAGGCTCTGCCAACATGAATATATCTACTTATCTAAACATTGTTTAACATATTTCTTCTCCCTTGTTTGTTAATATGGTGTATCTAGTCACTGTTAACCTGTTTAGTGAAAACTGAAGCAAAATAGGCATTAAACGTTTAAGCCTTCTTAATGTCACTAGTTATTAGCTCTCCTTTCCCACCAAGTATAGGATATACACTTTTCTTCATTCTTCTCTTTCACTTAATGTATTTAAAGAACCTCTTCTGATTACCTTTTAACACCCTTGCTAATTGTAATTCAGCTTGATCCTTAGGGTGCATCTACACAGCATCCTAAACTTGAAATAAGATACTCAATTAGTGCTACACAGATTGTGTGTCTTATCTCAAATCAATTTCAAAATAGCTTATTTTGAAGTTTGGCCCATTTACACAGTGCCAAATTTCAAAATAATGCCCTATTTTGAAACTTTTGTGAATCATGGAAATGTAGGGCTGGAAGAGGCTTGAAGAGATCATCTACTTCATCCCCTCACTGAGGCAGGATGAAATTTACCTAGACCATCCCTCATAGGTGATCTGTGGTTAAAATCCCCCAGTAATAGGGATTCCACAGTCTCCCTATGTAACTTGGTTCCAGTCCTTAACAATTCTTAAGAGTTAAAGGTTTTTTCTAGTATCTAACTATAATATACTGTGCAGGAAACTAAACCTATTTCTGCTTCTCCTACCCTTAGTGATGTTGAGAACAATTGATCACAGTTCTCTTTACAACAATCTTTTACATATTTGAAGCCTGTTATTTGTCCCCCCTTAGCCTTTTCTTTTCTAGACAAAATATGCCCATTTTTTTTCAACCCTTCTTCATATGTCTGATATTTTAAGGCTCTTATTATTTTTGTTGCTGTCCTCTGGACTGTGTCTAGTTTGTTCACATCTCTTCTGAAGGTTTAATTCGCAAAAATGGACATATAATGTCAGCTGAGGCTTCAAAGTAAAGCAACATTTCAAAGTTTGTTGGGTTCAGGAATGATCATGAGAAAAGCTCTGGTATTAAAATACAGCTCTCATATTAAACATACAGCCGCAGAAGTTCTGACATAGAGGAAGTTACTGCTTCTATCAGCAGAACACTGCCCTGCTGTTTTCCCATATTCCAGTTGCCTACTGCCCTTTCCCTTTTGTTTTCCTTTCCTTATTCAGCAGATGTTTGGTATCTTGAATAAGAAGCCTTTTTATATTCTTTTCAGAACTTTGCGGCAGACCAATGGATATCATGTTTCTTCTGGATGGAAGTTCTAATGTTGGAACATCAGACTTTGAGGAAATGAAAAATTTTGTAAAAGCATTTATTGCAAGATCTAACATCAGTAAGTAAACAACCCTTTACTCTAACACTTAGTTTTCTTTTATCCTCGTGTTGTTCATGCAAGGGCCATGACAGTTTTGACCCTGATACTTCACATATATGCCCTACTAGGAAAGTGTTTAATCTTAAAATTCCATATGTGAGAGATCCCCTGAATTTCACTCAATTCCCATTCTACTGATAGCATCAGAGGAACATACCTGTTGTCAGTTGAAATTTAGTCTGTTTCCTAGGTCAAGAGACAGAATCCAAAATATTTGGGTCTAGTGTTGGTGGGCCAGAATCCTATCCATCCTGGGTGATGGTGTCCCAGGGGAGGGAGGGGGAGGGACGATAATATCTTGTTTCAAGAGAGACCATGAAATCTGAAACTACAACAGAGAGGCCGCCCTTGGCCCTGATGGAAGAGCACCTAGTTGTCTGATTGTTCAGAATTTCCTATTTAAACCCAAAAGAGACATAGAAAGTTTTCTACACAATGGAGCTCTTCCTGGCTGCTGCATTGGACCCTGCCTTGTCTGACTTCTGAAGCTGTCTTCTTTGCCATGCTTCTGGATTCCTGCTTTCCTGGCCTGTTTCTGCTCCCTGCCTTCTTTCTGATCCTTGACCAAGATCTCCAGCTCTGGCTTGAGCCCTTGGTCTAACTCCTGACTCTGACTTCAAAAACTGGATGTGGCCACTTATGTCCCAATACCAACAGTAAGATTCCACTCCATGCTTAGATGCCTGGATCTGTTGCTTCAGAAAAAGTCTTCTTTTGGTATGAACATCTTGGCTTAATACCACCAGTCTCTCTAACCTCCCAATGAAGCATGGCAAAGGAGAGAATGGGATCCAAACTACAACCCCCATAAAGCAATGTGCTGTTAGGGAAATGCAGTTCAAAAAAATGTTGAACTGATTCAAACAAAACATTCCAGGTTTGTTCAGCAAAACAAAATATTCCTATGTGGGTCAACTTATTTCATTTAAATTTTTCTGAATGAAAAAATTGACATTTTTAGCAAAACTGAGAATTTTTTCTTGTTGAAAATATTGTGGAAACTGCATTTTCTTTGAGAAGATCCTTCTGATGGAAAATTCCCAACCAGCTCTACTTCTTAGAAAATGTGACTCAGATTATTTTTAAATTGTTGAGATGCCGGACTATCTTATTTATATAATTTGTCTTCTGTCTTCAGTTTCAGGCAATACCTTGACTCATGTGTCAGTTCTCCAATATGGAAGGTCACACACCTTAGAAATTTCATGGAACATGCCACAAGACAGTGAAAATCTTCTAAATAGGGTGAACTTAATTCAGCAAAGAGGACAAGGTCCCAGCAAACTAGGTAAGTAAATCTCTGTGTATGAGTACATAATTTTAAATGTGGGTTGATCCTAAACATTGTCTTGGACATTAGTGATACAAGATGGGTGAGGTAATATCTGTAACTGGACCAACTTCTGACCTGAAGAAGAGCTCTGTGTAAGCTCAAAAGCTTGTGTCTCACCAATGGAAGTTGGTCCAATAAAAGATATTACCTCACCCAGCTTGTCTTTCTACTATCCTGGGACTGACACAGCTACAACAACATTGCATACTATCTTGGACAGCTGGTTCTGTGCTAGTGCGGTGCACTAGGAATACATTCTTTCATAATTCATTCAAGTTATATGTTGATTTATCGGCAAAGAGTTTTAGATTACTCTAAAACATGTTTGTCTGAGTTGCTAAGGTCAGAGTGTACCACACTTTACATCCAAAAGGAGAAGACTATTTTCTTTACTGCTTTGACTGGTTTTCAATATTCATGTGTTATGTATCTCTCTGGCAAGTCATCATCAATTCATCAGCTTAAGTCACTTTCACAAAACTGTACCCCAGAAACAAATCTCTGTTAGTCCTAATATTCCTGGGTAACCCAAATTCCTCTGTGACCCTGGGAAGACTGCATGTAATCTTTCCAGTTGTAGGTTCAACAAAAGCAAATTACATTGCAATGCATCAGGTCTTTTACCAAATACTCTGAGAATTTCATTCTTCTGGACTGGAACCACATTTTGTCTGGCAGCCATCTCGCATCAGGGTCCTATAAGAGCAGAGAAGTGTACAGATTTTAGGGTCTTTGGCCTACTTCTTCCTGTAAAGAGTTATTGCTATGGAAAAGTGAGAAATAAAACCTGACCTCCGTAGTTCGCAGGAGGATTGGCTATGATTGCTTTCTCAGCCTGGAGAAATAAAAATACCAGATGGCTGATGAGACTTCTACAAGCTCTTTGTGGGAGAAATTGTTACATTCAGATAGATACGTTTCATGAAGTCTCCTATGTAACCTGTAGTAAACTACAGAGGCTAGCGGGATAAGCAGCAAAAACATGGCTCTGTGCTGGTGAGAGGAAATGGAGAAGGAGATGGATTACACAGTTGCCAGTGATTTGTTTATTTCTCACTGGAAAGGTACATACCACAACGAGGGAGGTGGTCTGAGACCCTGAATGGAATAGAAGTAGCTCCTGCCAAGCAAGCAAAATCAGTTACTGTGGTCTTGATCCTGCATTCCAGAACATGTAATAGGCATTCCTAAGTCAGACGGGTGGATCAGATGGCCCAATGCTCCTAAAAATGCATGAGCACTCAACTGTTTCCAGAAACCTGAACACTGGCAGACCTGCAGACTGTCTAAAAGATTTGGGGGCTCCAATTTGGGTGTTAAAATCTATAAGGTGGCTTTGAGAAATTTCACCCTTCATTCATCCTGGGCATGGTCAGGAGTTTAACACATCAGCCAGCATTGTCACTCCAGTGCAAGTATTGCTCTTTCTCATTTGTATAGTCTCTCCCATCACTCAAAATGGGATCCTGTGCAATCAGTATGCTGGCCTGTTACAATATGTGGGGCTATTCATGAGAGGGACAGCTGCCAGCTTAATCCCTATGGTAGCATGCTCTTTGTTTAGGATCATGCATGGTCCCAGGTAGCTTGTTTGCAGATGCTCAGGATGGGAGCTACAGGCATGATTGCATTTTACACACAGCTAGCTGTACCAAAGCATCAAAGCTGGGGTATGTCTAAGGTTGACAGGGCCACACTTGCCAAGGTCCCAGCATATTTGAAGCAAGGGTTCCAAAACCTCATACGGTGGATGCAGTTTTATTCAAAGGGGCAGCTTTGCCACATCCTCTCTTTACATTCACAGTAGGATTTCCTCTTCTCAGAATGTGTGGGGAGAATAAGAGTGTGTGTGGGGTAAGAGGAGATGGCACAGGGGGGTCAGAATCAGGAGGGAAGGACAGAGATTGGAATTGGAGGTCAGGAGTAGAAAGGTAAGAGGAGACAGGCAGGAACAATGGCAGGAGCCAAGGATAAGCAACAGAAGAAAGGTGTGTGGAGGAGCAAACCAGGAAGAGTTGGAATGGAATATAAAAGCAGTAGGGGAACTGGGGCTATGTCTAGACTGTAGGCTTCTTTCGGAAGGAACTTTTCTGGAAGAGATCTTCTGAAAAAATTTCTTCCGAAAGAGAGCGTCCACACTGCCAAAGCGCATTGAAACAGTCATCTGCTTTTTCGTCTAGACTACATCCCTTTTTTGAGAAAGGGATGTAAATTAGGCATGTCGATATTGCAAATCAAGCCAGGATTTGAATTTCCCGCGCTTCAGTTGCATAATGGTGTCTGCTGGGGAAAGGGATGTAAATTAGGCATGTCGATATTGCAAATCAAGCCAGGATTTGAATTTCCCGCGCTTCAGTTGCACAATGGTGTCTGCTGGTTTTTTTTGTTTGAAACGGGGCTTTTCGGAAAAAAATGGCAGTTTAATAAAACCCTTTTTCAAAAGATCCTGTAAACCTTATTTTTTGAGGAGGGTTTTATTTTTGAAAGATCTACATCTAAACTGATGGGTTTTTTTCAAAAAAGCCCCGTTTTGAAAAAAAGCGGTGGCTGCCATTATGCAAAAGAAGCGCAGGAACGGGTTTTATTTTTGAAAGATCTACATCTAAACTGATGGGTTTTTTTCAAAAAAGCCCCGTTTTGAAAAAAAGCGGTGGCTGCCATTATGCAAAAGAAGCGCGGGAACTTCAAATCCTGGCTTGATTTGCAATATCGACATGCCTAATTTACATCCCTTTCTCGAAAAAGGGATGTAGTCTACATGTACGCATAGTATCCACACTGAATGGACGCTATCTCACATTTAATCTGTGATTACTATGGACAGAGTGGTCACCAGGGCACCTCTGCTTTTTCCTCTTTCAAAAGAACTCCCTCTTCCCCATCCACACACAGCTTTTTCTGAAAGAGTTTTTTTGCAAAAAGGTTTCTTCCTTGTAGAAAGGTTTACCAATGTCAGAAAAACCCCTCTGTTCTTTTGATTTTTTTTTTCGAAACAACCTCTTCCCCATCCACACACGGCTTTTTCTGAAAGAGTTTTTTTTGCAAAAAGGCTCCTTCCTTGTAGAAAGGTTTACCAATGTCAGAAAAACCCCTCTGTTCTTTTGATTTTTTTTTTCGAAACAACGTGATTACAGTGTGGAAGTAATTGAAGTTTCTTTTGAAAAACTGCCATTTTTCCGACAAAACTCTGTGGTATATACATACATACCCTGGGATAAGAGTTGGGGGCATAGCAGCAAGGATGGAGGGATATGAGCAGAAGAGAACAGGGTGCTGCTAGAATCATAGAATACTAGGACTGGAAGGGACCTTGAGAGGTCATCGAGTCCAGTCCCCTGCCCTCATGGCAGAACCAAATACTGTCTAGACCATCCCTGATAGACATTTATCTAACTTACTCTTAAATATCTCTACAGATGGAGATTCCAAAACCTCCCTGGGCAATTTATTCCAGTGTTTGACCACCCTGACAGTTAGGAACTTTTTCCTAATGTCCAACCTAAACCTCCCTTGCTGCAGTTTAAGCCCATTGCTTCTTGTTCTATCCCCAGACGCTAAGATGAACAAGTTTTCTCCGTCTTCCTTATGACACCCTTTTAGATATCCCAACTCTGCTGATGATCCCTTTTTGGGGCTTGATATAGTTCTATGCAATGTAATTTTTGTTTCCATTTTTATGTTTTTAAAAAGTAAGAAATTCCATCCAGAAACACTACATTAAAATAACATTATGGTTGTAAAATCAAGGACTCAAAAATAAGGAGGTGGCAGAATCAATGCTGCCTGTACAAATTTAATTCACTCCTCTTGGGCATATTCAGTATGTGATTGTCTTTACTTACCTGAACACACACTAGATTTTTCACAGGCCTTCTGCTTCATTCAGTGAATGGGATTGTGTTTCTCTGGGGGTGAATCAGGGCTGTGTAATAAAGGAGGTTGTTGTCTGTAGCAGCTCTGCCTTGTTTACTTTAGCATCTGGAGAGATGGGTTGTGACTGAGGCAGGGGAGGGGGCTGCAAGAGGTGTAAGGCGTGATGGAGTGGGGATTGTGTTCGCTCTGTTTGTTTTGTTATGCTACATGTGATTCCTACTATCCTGTACTGTGCTGTTGTAACCCTGTGTGTATGCCTCAGTTTCCCTGGGTACTGCACTGGAGCCCAGCTGGGATGGGAATGTTGGGTATGGCTCTCCCTGAGGGGAGGCTGGCCCCAGGCTGCCCCATCTTAGCACGTTCACAACCATAGCTCAAGCTGTCCTGTAATCTGAGCCTGGGCAGGTGGGAGCAACCAGGCGACACCATGCTTGGGAATCTGAACAAAGGAGGGGGGAGCTTCCTCAAGGCTGGGGGACGAGTTGCTGGGTGTGTGAGCTCTCTGGGCTCATGGAGGGTACAGGGTGGGAACCCAGAGCACTGGGACCCCTTCTTTCCAAGTTGGATTGTACTGTCTGCTTCTGGTTCCTGTGTTGACAAGAAGTCTGTGCTATGCAGTATCCCTGTCAGTGAATAAACCTTCTGTTCTACTTGGTGTCTAAGAGCCATGTCTGGCTGCAGATGGGGGTGCAGGGCCTGGTGACTCCCCCACACTCTGTGACACAAGGATACTCTCATGGCACAGGCAGTGGAATGCTGCCCTGGAGAAATGGATTTTATCCTTCCTCTGCCACAGGCTTTCTTCGTGATGCTGGGCAAATCATTTAAAGCCAAACTTTTCCAAGATGATCCCAGTTGTGAGTTCCTCATTTTCTGTGTGCCTGACTTCAAGCCTTGGGGTCTGATTTGCACATGGGTTGGGCAGCTGTAAATTGAGCAATGCTTAGAATGTATATATATCTAATGCTAATGTAACCATCACCGGGCAGGTTTGAACTTGGGACCTCTGGAGCTGAATATAGACGCCTCCACCCTTTATACTACCTATAGGAGTATAGGGGTGTGGGTTACACTAAGTAGAC